TATGTTTCCATCCAAAACTGCGAATGAACTTTATGCGCAAAACTGGATTATCGGATAAAAGACGTGCGAATAAAGCAGAGTTTCCATCCAACAATCAAAGCGAACAAAATAGTCACTTCCTGATTAACTGGCGCCAATTATCAACAATTAAAACTGAATTTGCTGCAGTAGGAGAAGCTGCATCAGTCTTTTTTTCATCTAATAAGTGACTTGCGCCTCAGATGGAAATCCTGAGGCAGTGAACGCGCGGTTGCGTTTGAAGGTGTCATACGCGGAGCACAGACGCTCTTGATTCTAGAGGTCATTAATAATATAATAATACTAATAATTAAACGGGAAGGTGTTTAGAGTGACTAAAACAACATTTCAGATGTTTTACAGTGTGCTCAGCCTGCTGGTTTGTCCATTCACACACATTTTCATCATCACATGATCTCTTATAACAAAATCACATGACCTTTTTTAATGCGCATGCTGGAGTTTGTGCGGTAAAAGTGTTTCCATCGTAGTTTGTGCGCATCTTTTCTTATCGAATGTTTATCCTATTCAGTTATGCGCATATGTTTTTATGCGCATTTTCAAAATGTATGCACATCTTGCCATTTCTATCAACCATTTTTTAATGTGCGTATGCAAAATGTGCATAAAAATAGGTGGATGGAAACATAACTAGTGATACATTTAATGTCAAATTCAGCATGTACTGGTTTTAGACACTGTTTTAACCCATTTTGGATTGAATTTTGTTTTAAGTCATCGGGTGTGCAACCATGAGAATTAAGTTAACAGGACAGTAAAGTTTTTAATCATTGATTTAAAATTTCTTAAATTGCATTTGTGACCCTAGACTACAAAACTAGTCTTGTGTTACTTGTGTATATTTTTTCCAATAGCCAAAAATACATTGTATTGAATGCTTTTTTTCTTTTATACCAAAAATAGTTATTATTTTAAGTACAGATAACATCCCATAAAAATATTTTGTAAATTTCCTATTTTTAATATATAAAAACTTCATTTTTATTAGTAAAAGGCATTGCAAACAATGAAATTTGAACAAATTTTAAGGTAAATTTCTCAGTATTTTATTCATTTTCTTGGGATTAGCCCCTTTATTCATCAGGATTCACCACAGCAGAATGAACCGCCAACTTATCCAGCATGTTTTATGCAGCGGATGCCCTTCCAGCTGCAACCCAATGCTGGGAAACACCCATACACACATTCACACACATACACTACGACCAATTTCATTCATTCATTTTCTTTTCAGCTTAGTCCCTTTATTAATCTGGGGTCGCCACAGCGGAATAAACCGCCAACCTATCCAGCATATGTTTTTCGCAGCAAATGCCCTTCTAGCTGCAACCCATCTCTGGGAAACATCCATACACACTCTACAGCCAATTTAGTTTATTCGATTTACCTATCGCGTGTGTCCCATGCCAAAACTCACTCCACATACAAATGCCAATTTATCCAGAACCAGTGACCTTCTTGCTGGGAGGTGACATTGCTAACCACTGAGCCACAGTGTCACCCTTCTCTCAGTATTTAATTATTTTAAAAAAACTAATGAACCCTCAGATTCTAGATTTCAAATAGTTGTATCTCAGCCAAATAATGTCTTATCATAATAAAAACCGTACATCATTAGAAAGCTTATTCAGCTTTGATGCATCAGATGATGACGGGTTTAGTGCTCCAGAGTCACATTTTTGATTTTGTATTAATAATTTTTTTTAGGATTCCCATCCGTACTCAGAGCATAATTCTCAGTGAGTTTTTCTTTAATCCTTTAGCATTTCAACAACATTTTTGCTTTAAATCATCAAATTTACGACCAACAGAATCCAGCATAGCGGGGACAGATTATTCAGTTTGTTTTATTAGAAACATTTACAATACAATTTCTTGAAAATAACCCAGAAAACAAAAATAAAAATCAAAACTAGTATGGCATAGATACATTGATCAAATATCAAAAAATGAAAGTCACAAAGAACATGTCCTAAGGAATAAACCTGCAGTTTGCGCGCCCCGTGTTGGGCGCGATACTGAAATATGAACTCAAAACGACTCGTGGAGTATCGGCTAGCCTCGTCTATGATATGGCAAACCCCTCGCTTATCAACAATAAATTGAACACTAGTACCAGGAGATGCTTGACCAAAACTAATGCACTAAGACCACTATGAGAGCTGTATGAAACACTTCTACTGTGCTGGAAGCTACCAAATACAGACTGTCGGACCGGAGTAACTCATCCCGAATGCGAGGTCACGTCAATGACCGTCCTAATCCCCCCTCCCCACGTGTTCCTGTCTGACTGAAATTGAAACCACTACACAACTATCATTGCCACCACAGAGCCAAAACAAAAAGTCGAGATGCGTGTTCACCATGAAGTACTGAGACTATGCTTTTTCTGTAAACAATAGTTCACCGCTTTGACATGTTCGAGACACTCTCGGCGTTAATGAAAGGCAATCATCAGCCCTTGAGTGTGGTTTGTACATAAGTCTCATTTTTATGTGACAAAGCAAGTTGCCAGTCAAGAGATGATACAAGTTACATGCAAATAACGGTATTACCGTGAGTGTGCTCCAAATCTGCATTCTGTTCATGTATATGAAAACAAATTGATTTGCGAGAACAAAAAGTAAACAAGTGTGATTTGTTTAGTTTTAACTTTCTTTTTTTTTTGAGTTTTGTCATGCATATTTTTAAAACCATCAGAACATGTAGTTGATTTTTGCTTATTTTCCTACAGTATGTATGTGTGTGTGTGTGTGTGTTTGTGTGTGTACTATGCACAATCATTCTTCTGTTTCACCCTGTTATACTTAAGCCTGTTATCGCTTCATAACAATTGCATTTAAAAACAAAGCAATTTATTGAAGAAAAGGAAATAAGAAAAGATACGGCGTCCGAGAGATTAACATGCTGCAATTTAAGAAAATGCATATGGAATCATAGAAAATGCCAGCATATTGAGAAAGATCTTTATCCGTTTGCACATGTGCTGCAAATACTCACAACGCAAACACATTTTCAAAAAATGCGCTGCATTTTTTCCACAAAGAAAAGAAGTTAATTTAAAATATGTGCTGCATTTTCACACAATGCAAACAATTTACAAAACGCACTACATTTTCCCACAACACAAATTAATAAAACGCGCTGCATTTTCTCATAATACAAACAATTTACAAAAATACGCGGCATTTTTTCACAACACCATCAACACAATGGAAATGTTTCAAGGGGATCCTAAAACCTGACGGACTCGACTGTTTAGGTTATTTAGGATAATAATATACAAAAGACAAAGGAATCAGGATGTTAAAATAAACAAACAAAAATAATACATTTCAAAGATCACCTACAACTTTACTGAGCAATAGTCACAACACAGCAGCATCCATCATGTTTTAGGGTCCACTTGAAACATTTCCCTTGATTTTGCAAGTGTTGTGAGAAAATGCAGGGTGTGTTTTCTTGTTTGTGTTGTGAAAAAATTTAGCACATCTTATTCATTTGCTTGCATTTTGAGAAAATGCAGCGTGTTTTAATAAATTGTTTGCGTTGTGAGAAACTGCAGTGCGTTTTAATACATTTATTGCGTTGTGAGAAAATTGTGTGTTTTATTAAATTGTTATCGTTGTGAGAAAATGTTTAGTGTTTTATTCATTTGTTTGCGTTGTGGGAAAAAGGTTTTTTTTTCATTGTTTGGGTTGTGAGAAAAAGCGTGTTTTATTAAATTGTTTGGGTTATGAGAAAATGCGTGTTTTGTTGAATGGTTTGCGTTGTGAGAAAATGCAGCGTGTTTTATTTATTTGTTTGCGTTGTGAGAAAATGCAGCGTGTTTTATTAAATTGTTTTGGTTATGAGAAAATGCGTGTTTTGTTGAATTGTTTGCGTCGTGAGAAAATGCAGCGTGTTTTATTTATTTGTTTGCGTTGTGAGAAAATGCAGCGTGTTTTATCAAATAGTTTCGGTTGTGAGAAAATTCATGTTTTATTAAATTGTTTGCGTTCTGGGAAAATGCAGTGCGTATTAATAATTTGCTTGCATTGTGAGAATGCAGCAAGTTTTATTAAATTGTTTGGGTTGTATGAACATGTTGCATGTTTTATTCATTTGTTTGCATTGTGAGAAAATGCAGCGTGGTTTCGTAACTTGTTTGCATTGTGAGAAAATGCAGAGTGTTTTATTCATTTATTTGCATTGTGAGAAAATGCAGCGTGTTTTATTAAATTGTTTGAGTTGTGAGAAAAAGCAGTGCGTATTATTCATTTGTTTGCGTTGTGGAAAAATGCAGCGCGTTTTTAAATTGTCTATCAGGTGTAAAGAATTGCAGCACGTGTGCTGTCGAACTGATGAAGATCTTTTCTCAATTTGCTAGAGTTTTTTTGTATTTGCATGTGTTTCTTAAATTGCAGCATGTTAAACTCTCTTGGCTACCATAAAAAGTAAAAAAGGGAACCTTTATTCACTCGGCTACTGTATGAGGTGTTAAAGGACAAGCACACAACACTTCTGAGCGCTTCTAGTATGCAAAAAACGCGGTTTGAGGCACAAAGTTGAAGTGACTAAAATACCCCCAAATGCTATAAAATATTTCTGCCATTTAATGCACGCGTCAAAACGGCACGCTTTAAAATATACGCCTTTGAAACTCCCGCCCCACTTGTTTTCTGCTGTCAGAAGTGTGGTTTTTATTTTTCTAACTTTCATAAATAAAAATTCTATAGTTTTAATCATTTTAGTAGAAATCAACTTCATGCGCTTTTTTAGAAATATATTAACTTTTTTTATTTTAATTTATTAATTAAAAAACAAAACGTCTTGAGGTTACTTATAAATATGTTTGCTTCATTAAAGATATTCATAAATAACATCCAGATACTGACCTCTTCCTCTGTCTATGAAATAATAATGCGTGTTAGCAAAATAGAATCTTACGAAACAGCTATAAGACATTTTTTCCCTTTTTAAGTTGCTTTGTATAAATGCTGTGAGGAAGAACGTAAACAGATACGGTGGTATTTCTCTAGTCATGAATTATTCTTTTTTTTTTCTTTTTTAAACTTAAAGCTCACTTTTGATGAAAGAAAAAAGGCAAAAAAAAATCAGACATTGGTTGGGTGGCCATTTTTACATTCAAATACATTATTTGCCCTTTTTTACTATACTGAAAGGCATTATAATTGCTTAAGTGCATCATGTATATGTTCTCTGGTGATTCTATGAAACGGACGCTGCAGTGGTTATAGATAAATACATGCAGCTTCGCTATCTGCTATGTAAGAACATATAAGGGTATATACTGTTCGCATAAAAAAGAAAACATATTAGCAAGGCTTAAAAAAATGCAAATATATCCATCATTCGGCTCATAAGTTTGCAAACCCCCTTCAAGAAACTCTAAATGCATTTGATTCTTTTTAGTACATCCCTGAAGAATAATCCACAAGACAAACTGCTCCCATGGCCTTGTTTAGTATCGTGCGTATGTGTATGTGTGTGTTTCCTCCTCGAGCATCAATGACTGTTTGCGATATTTCGAGTGCAGAAGCAGCTCACAGTTCTTGACAAACATCCTCCGAGTTCTTTGGTTTCCCAGCATGCTCTGCACATTCGAGCTCTTCCTTACAATGTCGCACCCCGGCTTTGACACTCGGGACAATCGAAGAGACTCGTGCAGCTTTCACAAAAAGGCTGCAAACAATCCCAGACGCTCGAGGACAAAACGCATCTTATATAGCTAGGCAATGCAAACTGGACGGAGTCATAATGTACATCTGAATGCTTAAATCATCACATATTCAGGTCAGTACTAAAAATAAATATCTTTTTTAGCACCTTCTAAACAAAAGACTCTGCTAGGGGCGTGTAAACATATGAGCGCAACTGTATCGGGCCGGTTTGTGCATTAGATAACTTTATGTTGGGTGTAATGCCTGGAAAAATAAACTGGTGTCGTTGTACGACATTACATTAAACACCAGCTGCAATCCTCACTAAAGATCTCTGTAGTAGTACAAGTGGCTCTGTTATATTTTATCTACACAGGCTGTTCAAAGGTTAATAATGCTCTGTAAAATAATTTCCCAGCATGCACAACCCAAAAAGGAAGCTGTTGAATAACTATTTAACAACACCACGTAATTACTGCAACCAAAAAAATCAAACAAGATTCACAGTGGTTCTTAATATTATGCTTCACGTTACGACACATTCTTGTTAAACCTGTTAAGACTCTAAACTGGAGCACTTCTGCTTGAGAAGCTGTGGCCGTGTGTTGTGACCACTCCCCCTTTCTCTGTCAGAATGGCTCTTTTTCTTTCGCACGGGCAGTTATTATTTTGGATTAGGCATAACAATAGTGCCCTTGAAATGAACGACGAAGGAATTCACCAGTCGAAATGAGGACGGATGTGCATTTTTAAATAAACGTTGTAGTTGATACTTTGTGCATTCAATATAGGGTGTGTAGATTTATTTAATCCTATAATATATCATCATAACCGTTTGCATTCAATATATCAAAGCAAATCCTGTACAAAAAAAAAAAAACTAAACTACACTAATTCCTTCCCCTATTGATTGTGATAACCCTAATTTTTTTGGTTATGTATTTCGTCTGAAGCGCTTTCAGATTTGGGGGGGGGCGTTCCGCTTTATTCGATTTCTATTGGGATGAAGCCTTATTACGCAATATTACAAGTAGGCTATTAGACAACTAGTACTACATTTTCAGAATTGCTTCTTATATAGCGAAATAGATTTAACGATATGCCTATGGTAGTCAGTCTTTACTATACATCTCCCTAAATGTCAATAAATATAGTCTTATTCCTATCAAATAAATAATACTCAAAAAAGGTTTTGCTGTGTAAAGTCTTTAACAGGTAAAACAGCTCTCCGTTTCATAGCCTGCATCGAATAATATCTCACTTTAAATACACTGCACCATTGATTCAGGCTACATTCTTTGAAGTATATCATCATCATCATCACTCTATTTATGAGTTATGAAAAAAATAATCATGGAATAAGTTGAAGTGCTGCATTTTGAGATTGGGATTACTGCAGGGGGGGTTATCGTGTAATTGTGCATGGCTTTAAAGATTTCTTAGGGTTAGCAACCACTGCGAAGCATTTTTTTTTTTTTGTAACAGTGCATTTTTTTGGGATAAAGATAAACTCGTTTATTAAGACGTTTATTGCCGTTTCCTGCATACGCTGACCTGGTGACCTTAAAAAGAGGCAGGAAAACAAAAGTGGTTTATTGGCAGACAGATATTCTGAATTGGATTGTAAAATTTGAGCGGTTACACTTTTGCATAATTCAGTTTTTAAAAACAGATTTGGTTTATTTATTCACTTATTTATTTATTTTTTTTTTTACAAATGAATGAAATGCATTAGCATGCATTCCTTCAATGGACGAGCATCTGTCCCTGATCAGTGCTGGGGATTTGAAGAATCAGAAATGACGGTAAGAAAAACCTCCGTTCAATACCATCTTACTGTTGTAAAAGAAATCCAAACTGAACGTCTAAAGGCTGCGACATTTAAAAGGCTTTTTCAACCGTGCAAATACAACCAACTAACTCGAAATATAACCCAAGTGCAACAATAACCATATTTGCCATTTGAGATATAGCTGTCGACAAATGCACATGCTTTTCGATTGCAAATGCTGCTGTGTTCTTCAAAATAAGGTGCTTTTTTAGGAGCTTTAATTTGTTAAGCCTTTTCAGTTTCATCTCTCACAACCGAGAGTCACTTAAAGGGAAAATATACTTCAATTAAAGTAAGTACCTTATTAAACTGATGCTCAAACAAAGTACTTGTTCTCTTAAACAACATCAACAACAAAAAAAAAAAAACACTATTAAACGCTAATGCGTCCTTACATCAATTGAGGCAAACAACTATTTGAACAGTCAACTCAGCATCAAAAAGTTTTTCAGAACTAATATTAAAAGATGCTAATGGCTCAAAGGTAAATACAATCACAAGCTTACCCTAGCATCTCTTCTAACACCGCGCACATGTGGCAATGGCGCTGAGAGGCTCGATGGGGGAAAACTGACCCATTTCAAACAGTACACTTTCTTAAGTCTTTTGCAGCGAGGGGGTTAATAAAAAAAAGACAGTTTCCCAAACTTCGAATGCTCTAATCCCCTATTCCGAAATCCCCTAGCCTGCAATGAGACAGGCAGTGGGTGTGTAATTTGATTCAGCTTGAGCGGCCACCAAATTGGGCGTTTCCCCCCCTTTCTTTCTTGTCAATTACAATTGTCTGATTTCATTGTGGAGTTCAAGGTTGCTCTGCGATTGGCTGCTTGTGACCGTGCACTGGCAGGGCAGTCTCGAGGGGGTCACGGCAGGATGTCCCACTCGTGAAGGAAGACTCCATGGAAACTTGCTTCTCGTTGCACATTAAATTTCCACTTTTCGCTATGCTGAATAAAAATGCATGGGGTCTATCTAGTCAGCCTTCACTCTCTACCCTGCCGTTCTCTCTCTTTTTGAAATAAAATCTGCTCTTGGATTTTTTTTCCGCCCTGATGGCAGGACAAAAGAGGCCCCTTTTCTTCCCATTGGGAATAGCAGAACGGGAGCGAGCGATCAACAGGAGGGGGCCCCAGCTGCACCTAGTGTAGCCCCCTGCGCCGCGTCTCCTCCGTCCTCATTCACGCCACTGTACGCCACCCCTCCTTACTCCTACAGCAGTTGCTTTGCACCTGGACTCTGATGTATAGCTAATTATCAGCTCCTCCTAGGGCAGGCCATGTCGGGGCGCTCCAGGGATTGTACCACCACTGCGACAAAACAATATACTCGCTGGGAGGAGCTCCGGAGCTCGCTTGTCATTACAGCATATGCACAGAGCCGTTGGTAGAATTGGAGCACAAGTCCCCCCTCTGACATTCTGACCCTCAAAAGAGAGAGAGAGGAAAAAAAAACTTAATGGAAAGTACGATAAGCAACACCTGCCTCAGTGCTGATGCTTTGCAACTCAAATGCAGGGCACTTTCGGGAGCGGGTGGTTTACATTGTACTGTAGCTCAGAGTCTTGCTTGCTTTTGTCTATTTGGTCTATTCAGGATCAGATTACAGACCCCCTCCCTCAATCACCCCCTCAGCTTTTTTTTTTTTTGCCCCCTCCTCATGCCTTATGCTCACAATCGATGTTTTACTAAATAAACGAGTGGAAATTCAAAATCATAAACATAAATAGTGCAGAATTAAGAATAAAAAAAAACCTGGGAAAGACCTCTTGAACGTCAGAACGCTTGATGAATTCCACGTTTTTTTTGTTGAGCTGACCGATCAGATTTTCGTACGGTATCTTATTAGTCCTCTTTATACCTTATATAATAGGCTCACTGGTGCAGAAACAAACAAAAATATATATATAAAAAAAGAAAATCTCCCTGTTTTACTCGTCAATTACCTGTTCGAATATTGATCAGCAAAGCAAGATACTACATTGGTAATTGTGTTGTTTAGAATATGATCCAAATCTAAAGCCACACCAACATCTGGTTGTATATATCAGCCCCATTTCTATACCATCTATTTCGCATAGACTTTTTTTTTGACAATCACTTCACATCAGTTTTAAGGTGCAAAGATTTAAGATTCTAGTTTGCCATCTAAAAAAGAATACTCGCTCATTTGCAGAAGATGCTGGGATGTAAAACTATACTCCAATCTTAGGAAATAAACTTGTATTGATATTTTTCATATAATAATAATAACAACATACTTCCCCAGCTGAGGAAAAGTGTCAAATGTTCACATTATTTCTCCTGTCACTGTCCACACACAGCATGTGGAAAAAAACAGCACCAGTAAAAAATTAAATAAAAGGAAAAACGAAAACAAACATGCTAAGAACTACGTTCTTCCCATTTTTAAAAAAACCTTTATAAAATATATATGTATATATGTGTACATATAAAAGAAAAATCTGAAAATACTTCTTCCTCTTTTTTTTTAGTAAAGCAAGCAGTGTGTTCTAAAATATCTGCTTGTTTTGGTTTTGTGTTTTCTGAAAAATAAAAAAAGTGAATACTGACCAAATAAAAAAAAAAAGGTAAACTGATTCTACAGATTAAAAACAAAGCACAGGAAACAAAACGAGACAAAACGAAAAGAACTGACTCTTTAAGAGAATATTCGAATAGCCTGTGTGACCAGGGTGTGGCAAACAGGGCACTCTGGATGATTTAGCTCACAAATTCGGATGGCACACTCCATGCAGAAGAGGTTATGACCACACGGGACCAAAGCAGCCGTCACCTTGCTCTCGAAACAGGTCATGCAGTCCCGAGACATGGCAGGCGGAGAATCCGGCACAGGCAGACGTCCGGTGAATGCCCCGGTGGCAGCGGTGGGCTCGCTGTGGGCACGGCGAGCCTGGGCGTGAGGAGACCCAACAGCGTTGGAGTTGCCGGTTCCGCATGGTTCGGGCAAACCCGGTGACAGTCTGGTCAGAGGAAGAGGCAGGCCTCCAAAGCTTTTGGAGCGCTGCTGGGCATAGTAAGCCACCTGTTTGGGATAGTCGGGATCGCCCCAGCTTTGAGTGCCCTCGGAGCCGAAGTAGGAGGACGGCTTGTCCCCGCTGCTGCCATGGTTGTTAAAGTCACCTTTACTGTAAATCCCTCCTCCTCCTCCACTGCTACTTCCGACCACGGTGTCTGAGAAATTCTGGCGGTAGCTGCTGGCAAGCGGCTTCCGCGGGGCCCCCTGTAGCCCCCACACCTGCTGCAGGCGGCTCTCCAGACCCCCGTTGCCACTTTCAGGGCCCAAGCAGTCATTCTCATTGTTGTGATCGTGCAGGCCACCTGTGCGGAAGGCGATGTGCGCCTCGATTTCTTCCCGAGCCCGTTCGGCGTTCCCAGGGGAGCCTGTGATCTCAAAGACGGGGTCACGGTCGCGGCTGGGAGTGACGATGTAAGTGCACGTTTGCTGCTGGATGCGTTTTATAGTCGAGCCTTTGGGTCCGACCACCAAACCCACAACCCGGTAGGGAACCCGCACCTGTATGGTGGTCTGGCCAGGTAGAGGTGCAGGAGGAGAGCCGCTGAACTTGTTCCTGGAGGCCCGCAGCATGGAGAAGTGCTCTGCAGCTGAGATGATTTCACGTCTGGCCAGGGCCACATCCTCTTTGCGCCCGGTGATGAGGAAGACTGGTTCTTCACCTCTGACGGGGGTCTTGATGTAGGTGTTTGTCTTTGCACGCAAAGCTTTGATTTTGCAACCTGTTGGGCAGAAAAGGAGCATTATGGTAGTAGAAGTACTAATATCTGATAGATAGTATTTATTTTGCTTGTTTGCTTTAGGGTCAAAAGGTCAGCCATGCTCAGAATCTGTTCATTCACAAAGTTCTGCACGTTCTTCATCTCCCGAGTGGAGTTTCTTTCGATGTTTTAGATCATTTCTTCTAAAGAAATGTGTAGTATTTCAAGAGATTATTCACCCAAAGATCATTTCCTCATCGTTTATTCTCCCTCATGTGGTTTTAAATATTTATGTGTTTCTGTCTTCTACACAAACGTAGATGTTTTGAAGAATGCTCGTTGCTGGGACCCATCAACTTCCATCGTAGGAAATAAATTACTATTGAAGTCAGTGGATCCCAGCAATCAGCATTTTTCTAAATATCTTATTTTGTGTTCAACAGAAGAATCTCCAATAGAGTCAATCGTAAGTAAATGATGAAAATTGTCATTTTTTGGGCTGAACTATCCCTTATACACTTATCAATTGGCTCAAAATGACAATGTTTTATTTTATAATGCTTGAATATAGGAATTACACTGCAAAAAATGCTTTTCTTACTTCGATTTTCTGTCATAGTTCTAGTTCAAATATCTAAAAGTTCTTAAATCAAGAAGCATTTTCTAGACAAGCAAAACATATTTTGTTATTTTAAGAAATAATCTGCCAAAATTAAGTGAGTTTAAATCAAGCTAAATAATCTGCCAATGGGGTAAGCAAAATAATTTTATCACAAATCGAAAAACAAGATTATTTTGCTTACCCCATTGGCAGATTATTTAGCTTGATTTGAGGGAAAACTCACTTCAATTTGGCATATTATTTCTTAAAACAAGACAATATGTTTTGCTTGTCTAGAAAATGCTTGATTTAAGAATTTGTAGATATTTGAACAAGAAACAAGACAAAAAATCGAAGTAAGAAAAGCATTTTTTGCAGTGTAGCGCTGGGCTGTTTGGCCTAAAATCAAAATCTTGATTAATTAAACATTTTAACTCGGTTAAGATTTATGCAAGGTTATTTTATTTTTTTGACCTGATAGTGACTGACAAGTTTTAGATGCCATGTAAAGGCATCTCTGGCGCAGCTTCCAATCATTGTCAATGTACACTCTCAGAAATAAAGGTACGCAAGCTGTCACTGGGGTGGTACCTTTTCAAAAGGTAAAAATGTGTACCTTAAAGCTCCATATTAACACCTCAAGGGTAAATATTAGTACATAAAAAGTACAAAAATGTTCCTCTTATTTTTTTAGGTACTAATATATAATTTTAAGGTAGCAATATGGACCCTTTAAGTAAAAATGTGCACTTTTTAAAAAGGTACCACCCCAGTGACAGCTTGCGTACCTTTATTTCTGAGAGTGTAGTACAAGGCTCAAGAATGAGTCCATCGTCCTACTTGACCAGAGATCAGATGTGGCTGCAAAGTGGCTGCAGAAGTAGAAATTAGCCACAGCCTTTAGCACAGCGGGTGAAGTGACACGTAGGGAACGTAATTGAAAAAAATTATCCTGGAAAAATTAAATTAATTATAGGTTCTGAATGTTGATCACTTTTCGATTAATCGCCCAGCCCTAATAAGAATATTGTGACGATTCACACTTGCTTCTATAGTACTATAAATATAAACATGCCCAGATACAAATTACTAATGATAAAATAAACATCACCTTGCCATTTTTAGGCACAATTTACTAAAATATAATTTTTGTACTTTGACTTTTTTTTTGATAAGGAAACATAGCAACATGGTTAATTTGATAACATCTGCTGGACTTCATTCATAAACTGGACTGATACAGATTCAATCTACTAGAACTTCTGTGTTAAACTGCTTTGACTCTGAATCGTATGAATCGTCACAATATTCTTATTAGGGCTGGGTGTAAAAGCGCTATAGAAATAAACTTGAATTTAATTCAATAAACAAAATACTATCAGCATTAATCTGTGTCAAATGTTCATAAAACTATTGACAGAATAGTGTGCATGGAAATACGTTCTGCTTGTGTTTTATAAATGAGGCTCAAAGTGAATTTGGAAATTGCTGTTCACTCTTCTCCATTGTGGGTACAAATCGATTAAAACAATGGCTGTTTTTTAATGCTGCATTACACTGTCTTGCAAATATCTTTTTATTATTATTCATAAAAAGAAAGAAATGAGTCTGCTTTTAATAATGCTAAGTGTTTAGCATAATAAATCCCATTTAGTGTATTAAACAATATGCAGTCTGTGCTGACGTGTCCTATTAGGATGCGATAAAAGTAAACAATAACAGAGATTGCAATAGGTTTGTCTGCATGACGTCTTCTCAACAAGGCTAGTGCCATGTGCTAACTTACAGTTACAAGTACGTAAATATCTCAATTACATCCACAGACTCGGGTTGATTTAAGGACAAAGCAAGCAAGCTAAATCCTTCATAAAGTTACTGTGGAAATATGAAATCACCAAGGTGTGGTGCTCCACATCATCTGCCTCGTGTTCGGCAGCAGAGTATTTATTAGCACCTCAGTGGTGTCTTATCAAAAGCAAGGTGGCTTTCTCCGCCCAGGGGCCTGTTCAGTGGATAGATTTCTGCACACTGGTTTCATGCCTCATTGTGTACAGCAGAAGCTAAAAAAATAACCTGAATGGACTGTCTAGCACTGACAGCGGGGAGCACAGATTCCCTCCCGCCGCTGAACCGTCCCTCTCGCCGCAGGAGCACATCTCCTAACAGGCATGGCAGACACTGCAGGTGAACAAAGCATGAAACCTTACAGCTCAAATTCTAATGATGATAACAAGCGAACATAAGTGCTGCTTTTTGTGCCATCACTCTCGAGTGTTGTTATCAGGCGCCTGCCTATTCATAGAAAAAAATGCTATTAAATTAAGTTAATAAAGGACAAACAAATGTCCAGATATTCAGCACAGGATGTGGCCGTGCTATCAGTAACTAATGAGGTAAAGACCCCATTTCAAATCCTCTTAATCAGCAATTTCCAGACCACGCGCTCACAGCATCCCAAGTTGGATTCAAGCTGAGGCGCGCAGGCCACTTTTCAACTCAACAAAGTCGTCATATGCAGGGAAGAGACTTGCTGGGTCGTTTATTAGTGAGTATTTCATCTAGGTGAGATGTTAGACTCTTAATGAACGCTTCCTGACCCCCTGCGTTGAGTGCAGGGCAGTTGTGCTGGTAGACGGGGCGTGACTCTTACACAGTCTTTACAGTCTGTCTCTCCTGGACCAAATGCAACACACAGCTTTCCAGGACACTGCATGTTAAGTGACTTTTCAGAGTCTACAACACGCGCTTGCTTAACTTATTCCACGCGTTCAGAGATAACTTTTGTGTCAAGTCATGTTAATATTGCTTTTCCCATTTTCCACCACACGAGCCTTGTCCTCAAAACACTCAAGGACTTTCACTTCTTTGTCTCACAACGCTGAGCACTTTCAGGTGCAGCTCACGAGACCCACTTTTACGTGCTCCCCCCCTCCCCGATGTTATTACGGACAAAAGTTACCCGACAAGTCCTCTTTGTCTCAGGGAGCCTGATAAAAACAACGTGGTGTTGCTGCATATGAAAGCCCCCAGGAACTACAGAGGCGCGCGAAGCAGCGAATGACACAATGTATCCAGTCAACAAAGACCGTTGACTGTTACATTGTATCCAGCGAGCGCACACGCGTTCCATTTTCTGTTTCAAAAAAACAGAATTACGCGCGCTCAGACGACAAAGGGAAAGCAGCATGCTGACATTGAAGGCGTGGATGTGGAATAATGCCTTTGTTCTCGTACCCGCTGGTAACTTTGCCTAACGCTAAGAGGAAATGCACATGCCATCTGCGATCTGAAATAGTGTGTGTGCTAAAACGGACACGTTAAAAAACATCACCACCACTCCCTTTTTCTTTGTCAAGACAGCTCCACACTTAGTTTGAGCCGCGCGCGCGCCCTGGAGAACGAGTTCGAAAGCATGTGAAAGTGCGCATCGTTGTATTTACCTTGTCTCCCCACTATTTCGGCCACATGTTCGGAGCTTGGCACGGGGACGCACTCCGTTATGTTGCAGCCCCGTCCTTTGGTTTCGGTCGGCGAGCTCTCGTACAGGGCGCACAACTTATTCTTCCCTTGTAACATCCCCGGCTCGGCTTGGATGTGGTTGTGGTGGTTATTATTACTCCTGTCTTGAACTCCTCCACCACCACCACCTCCACCCGCAGGAGCCCCGTCCTCGCCCTCTCCAAGACCCAGCAGCGACAGTTGGCCCAGCGCAACTCTAAGGGCACGGGAATCGTCCTCCTCCTCCTCGGGTGGCACTAGGAGACCTTCGCTGCCGAAGCCGGAGCCGGCTAAATCTCCGCCGTAGCCCCCATTTTTCTCCATGATCCCTGCTAGAACCAGCAAGCTAGGCATGGCTAACAAAAGAGTGTGAGACAAAGACACTGGTAAGAGACTGGAGAAACAGCACCCTCGCCGCCACCCCGCCCCCTCCTGGTCCTCGTCCCCCGTTTGCGCTAGTCCCTCCCTCAGACCAGCCCCCTCTCCGGTTCCGAAGCGCGCAAGGCGAACGGGACACAAGGATGTCTGCGCCGAGCGGGGCCGGGCCTACCGGTGCTCCGCCCCGTCTGGTTCGCTCAGGCCCCGCCTATGGCAAGCCGCTGCTGCGTCTATTCCTTTAAAAAACATCTATTTTTGTGTCACTTGTCCTGAGATTTGAGCGATTCATTCACTACTTTGTTTGATGCTGTTTTATATTTTATGATACATAGATAATAACAAAAATACTTTTAATAAGTTTGTTATTTTTATAAGTTTAATATGTTTAACAAGTAAAAATATTTGCAATAAAAGTATAATAATATAGTTTTAACAAAGTTATTTTTTCTTTGTATTAATATTTAAAGTTATTTATCGAAGCAAGATTCAATCAACTATATTTCTGTTAACAAAAGGTGATTTGTATTTTGTATTTTATATTTAATTATTATTCAAACAGTACTATTTAAATTGTATTTTTTTAATGTTGAATTTTTTGTAACAACGTTGTATTAACATTTTAATTAATGTTAATAATGCAATGGGCAGCACAAATGTCTCGATACCTCAGGCTAGTGATGTTGCCATCCACTCTGCAGATCTTTTGCACGCCCCCATACTGAATGTAACCCCAAACCATGATTTTTCCTTAACCAAGCTTGACTGATTTCTCTAAGAATCTTAGGTCCATGTGGATTCCAGTAGGTCTTCTCTAGTATTTGTGATGATTGGGATGCAGTTCAAGAGAGGATTCATCAAAAACAATAAAGAAATAAATCTATCGGCTGCCACTTTTCCAAATAATCAACTAGAAGTCAACTTATTATTTGTTGCTTTTACATCTGAGATCAACAGCAACACATTTGTCAGGTAGTGTATAAGGCAATGTAAACAAACAAACATAAATAAATATCACCACCACCCAAGCTCCACTGATATAGTTTTATCAACCAGAAAATATCAAGAATAACCAGGAAAACAAAAACACTTGAAAAGGTCGAGTTACATCTTTGCTGTCTTATTACGGCTTGCTTGTATGGTCGTATTTCAGAATCCATACTAAAATTGTTACAGATTCTTGGACAAGAAAACCAGCATGTCCACTTTTCTTGTTTTCAGTGATGCACTTTGACATGTACTACACTAACCGATGTGGTGAAAACTCTTTTAGAGTGTGTGATACTGACAGATATGGATAAATATATGTGAGTTACATCACTCATTTATTGGATTTATATGGGTATACTGTATATACTTATAATGCATATCAATGCATATGCAAAAACATATTAAATGCACTAAAAAAACAGTAGAGGAATGCTTTATTTTTGTAATATGTTAGAGGTATTTTTTTTAAATAGTGTTTAAATGTACCTAGCATTTAGACTCTGTTTGAGAAATATAATATTACCATTAGCCTATTGGGAAGAATAGTGACCTTAAAGTAAAATTGATTAAGTTTATTATTATTATTATTATTATTTAGTTTGATTTGAAACTGTAAAATAGTTTAAATGTTCAAACAGCTTGCCATGTCTTTGCCTCCCTAAGACAGTCACCATCCGTCCATCTATCCATCCATCCACCCATCCATCCCGTTTGCATTTCAGACTTCTTTGTAGCAACCCACACCGTCCTATCCTAATGCATAACCCAAAGCATCTATTTCCATCCAGTAAAATATCAGTCTACAGCATCACGGCTCATTGTCTCGTGCAGTGGGAAGAGGCGTGCCAGAATAATCGCACATGTGCGCCTGCAAACAACACCATCATCCAGCTGCCTTTCTCCACACTCTCAACAACAGCGCTTCTGTTGTGATTCCCGATCATAACACGAGCGAAAAATGCGCTGCGTTCATCACTGCTGTTCCGCACAGAGGAAGGGAAACATCTGTGCCCAATATCTGGCCACAGTGAAAGAGTTAATGTGACAGAATTTGGGGGTTCCGCCCACCGTGTTTGCCGTTGGTTGCAGCGGGTCACTGAGTTGTTGTTGACGGAGAGGAAGAGCAGCGCGCGCGGGCGATCAGGAGGAGACACGCGGGGAGTTTCAGACAGACGATGCGGGATCTGCACTAGAGAGAGGGAGTGTGTGTGTGTGTGTGTGAGAGAGAGAGCACGTGTCTAGCAACATCGCAGGCAAACCTTGAACAAAGAGCGTTCGTGTTTCCACCTCAGACGCCGCTGATCCTCATGATGCCACGCCTGGCGGCAAAGATGAATCTCTAACAACAACACAACCACCATCAGCAGCAGCAATAATAATAATAATAATAATAATAATATTAATAATAATAATAATAATAATAATAATTATTATTATTATGATAACAATGTGTATAAAACTATAATGGTATTATTATTATTAATAATAATTAATGATAATGTTGTTAAATTTATGCAAACTGATGAAATTTGTCACTTTTTAAATTAAACAAATAGCAATAACAATAATATTTATTTGTAGTTCATGTAGAAAAATTCTGTTACATTTATGCAAACTAAATAATAAATGCTTTAGTGTTTTATAACCCATACTATAGAAAAGTGTGTTATACTGTTTGTATTATAGTATTTACAACTTGTTCAACTTATATAATAATAAAAAATTATAATATTTATTTGTAGTTCTGTTGTTAAAATATGTTGTTAAATTTATGCCAGCTGATGAAATTCGTCATCTTTCTCACATGAAAAAAAAAAAACTAAATTATAGTAAATTCTTTAATGTTGTCAATTCTTTAATGTTGTCAATCCATACTGCCGCTGATCCTCATAATGCCAAGCCTGGCGGCAAAGATGAATCTCTAACAACACAACCACCATCAGCAGCAGCAATAATAATAATAATAATAATAAAAATAATAATAGTAACAATTACAACAATAACAATAATAATGATAACAATAATAATGATAATAAAAAATAATAATAATATAGAACAGAAAAATCTGTTGTTAAATTTATTCAAACTTTTATGCAAACTAATGAAATTCGTCACATTTTTTATTTGACAAAATACTGTAATTAATAATAAATACTTTAGTGTTTTTGACCCATACTAAGTGTATATGTATTATATTTACAACTCTTACAACTGGTATAATTAAAAAAAAAAATAGAAATATAGAATAGAAAAATCTGTTGTTAAATTTATGCAAACTGATGAAATTTGTCACATTTCTTATATGAAAAAATACTTCAATTAATAATAAATACTTTAGTGTTTTTAACCCATGCTAAGTGTATAATATGTATTATATTTACAAATCTTACAGCTGGTATATTATAAAAATAATAATAGAAATATAGAATAGAAAAATCTGTTGTTAAATTTATGCAAATTGATGAAATTACAGTATAAATATACAGTACTATACTGTATAATATACTAGTGTATTATCTTTACAACTCAACTGGTATAATAATAACAATAATAATAATAATTAATGATAGGCGACAAGGTGGCGCAGTAGGTGGTGCTATCACCTCACAGCGAGATGGTCGCTGGTTCGAGCCTTGGCTGGGTCAGTTGGTGTTTCTGTGTGGAGTTTGCATGTCCAAAGGCATGTGGTACAGGTGAAATGGGTAGGCTAAATTGTCCATAGTGTATGAGTAACAATGAGTGTGTGTGGATGTTTCCCAGTGATGGGTTGCAGCTGAAAGAGCATCTGCTGCATAAAACATGTGCTGGAGTTGGCGGGTCATTCCACTGTGGTGACCCCGGATTAATAAAGAGACTAGGCTGAAAACAAAAATAATGAATGAATGAATAAATAATATTATAGAACAGAAAAATCTGTTATTAAATTTATGCAAACTGATGAAATTCGTCACATTTTTTATATGAGCAATACTGTAATTTATAGTAAATATTATAGTTTTTTTTACCCATACAAGTGTATTATATGTATTATATTAACAACTCTAACAACTGGTATAATGATGATAATAATATATAATAGAAAAATCTGTTGATAAATTTATACAAACTGATTAAATTACTTACTGTAGTTTAAAATATGTAATTTATAGTAAATACTAAAGTGTTTTTGACCCATACTATAGAAAATAATATTTATTTGTAGTTTAAATTTAAAAGATGTTGTTAAATTTATAAAAATAAAATTGGTCGCTTCTCTCATATTAAAGAATATTGTAATTTATAATAAATACTATAGGGTTTTTGACCCATGCTATAGAAAAGTGTATTATACTGTAAATAATATTTTATTTACAAGCCTTACGGTTTAATAATAATGATAATAATAACAATAATAATATTTATTTGTAGTAATAGAATAATGTGCTGTTCAATTTATGAAGCTGATCAAATTTGTCACTTTTCTCACATAAAAAAAAAAAACAATCGTAATTTATAATAAATACTTTGGTGTTTTTGACCCATACTATAGAAAAGTGTATTATACTGTATGTAGAGTATTCAATGATTTAAAACTCTTACAACTGATATAAAAATAAAATAATAATAATAATAATAAGAATTTTTTTTGTAGTTCAAATAAAAAATATGTTGTTAAATTTTTGCAATCTGATAACATTAGTCACTTTTCTCAGATGAAAAAACTGTAATTTATAGTAAATACTAAAGGGTTTTTGACCAGAACTATAGAAAAGTGTATTACTTGTACGCATTATAATATTTACAACTCTTTAGTTTTTACTACAGTAAACTGTGGTGTGTGTTGTAGTATTATAATTCTTTATAATATAATAATATAGTTGCTGTATTACAACAACAGTTACAACAACAGATTATTTCAAGCAATCTACTATAGAATGGCTCAAAAATAACTAGTGTTTACTATAAATTACTATACTATTTTTCCATGTGGGAAAAAATAGTATAGTAATTTTTTAGTAAACACTAGTTATTTTTGAGCCATTCTATATTAGAATGTTGTTGTACTTTGTAGTAAACAATATAGTGTTTTTGAACCATACTAGAGTAAAGTGTACTGTACATATTTTATAATAACGTTGTTAATGGATGCTGCAGCATACTGTAGTATTAATCATAGTGAACCGATAAACTAATAATTACTACAGTATTTACCGTGGTGTGTTTTAGCATAATTTATGGTAATTTCTTTATATTACAGTTGTATTATCGTGGCAAATCATAGGGTATAATCATACCACAACTGTACAACACACCATAG